TTGTAAACTCGGAAAACCAACTTGCCGACATTCTGACGAAGGCCGTATCGAGTAAAGTCTTTCATGACTCAGTTGACAAGTTGGGCATGCGTGATATCTTTGCACCAACTTGAGGGGGAGTGTTAGTCAAGACATAAACAAGACATAGACAGCTTTCCTAAAACAAGGAAAAGCTTGTCTATCATCTCTCATACTTTTTCATGTTTACATATCCATATTTTAGGGATGTTTACACATCCATGTTTTAGGGATACCTTTCCAGGATTTGTGTTAGATGTAATTATTAATTAGCCATGTACAATTGCATATAACTCTCAAGTGAGTAATACAATTTCCGATTAGCATTTTCTGCAAATCTTCTTCTCCTAGTTCATCTCTATTCTCTCAATTACACTATCTTTGGCATACACAATTTGTGTTGCCATGTTTGCCAAAATATAAGGGTCGTCATCATACCAAGTTCTGTTAATGTTCACAAATAGTAAGCCATGGTCGATTTTAACACTTCCCTGCATATTTGGGTTTGTATCAAACCATCGACACTTAAAGTTGAAACTTATAACAATGATTTATTATTTGAAAACCAAAAACAAAAGAATGATAAAGTTGAAACTTATAATACCTCTTGTTTTCCGAAACCGCCCATTCCAAAACGCTCTCCTGATGCCATAAATAACAATATTTCTTCTTGAAAAGGAAGTCGGAGGTTTTTGGTTGCATATATAAGAGCAAAGCCCTTACAAATGGTTAACATCGTCAATCAAAATATGACCCTTCCTTTGAATTTCTGCCAACCCACTGAAACTGCAAGAAACACGACATCAATATGTTTCACTTCCTTCCAGCATGAAACGTTAAAAACAAAAGAAAAAGAATTCATGTATTGCAACATAAAACTACCTGAATTTCTTTTTCTGGTTGGAGTTTCCAGACTTGATGTATGAGACGAAGAGATTAACCAACAATATCTTTTGGAATTCTTCAAGTTTTTAAGCCAGAAAGATTATCCAAAAATTAGAAAAGGAAAGCGTATGATGGAAGCCGATGGTTGTGGATGGTGAACAAACAAAGTTATTGTGCTGTTTGCGAAGGGGGCGTGGCCTTTGATTTCTTCAAGGTCATTATATTGAGTCACGCGAATCTCTGCAAAGATGGACTGGTTAGTGGTCTGTGTTGCTCGAGAGATGCTAGTGCTTGCCAGCTTTCTCTGACTGCTTTCACTTCTCTGCTATTTCTTGTCTTCTTCAGTATTGAAGTGCATAGTGGAATAGTAGTCAGGCCTAAAATAGATACTGTGGGAGCAAATTTCCTCCCACGAGAATATTCGCCCAAGATTCCTTCGTCTTCTCCGCTTCTCTTTCTCCCTACAAAATAAATCGGAGTAAAAGGACCACACCCGGGGGGTGTTGGCCAAAGGCCCTCCGATGCCTAAGTTAGGTTGGGTGTTTCAAGGAAAACCGGGTGGCCAGAGCCGTGTGTGGTGGCCGGAGCCTTGTGTGAGATAGAGAAAGAATATGAAGGGAGAAGGGTTTATGAGAAATAATTTATGCAGAGTTTCAGTAGGAATTCAGACGTACCTCCATCCTCGTGTGTAGCTCCATATTTATAGAGGGTCTCAGAGGCTTTAATTTGGCGAGGTTGGTGGGGTTGGTGTGGTTGGTGGGGTTGGTGTATTTAGGGGTTAGGGATTTAATCAAATCCCTAATTAAGACAAAAATCAAAGACATCTAATTTAAATCAAATAACCTCCTAATTAATTCAGATAATTCCCAATTAGGTTAGGTAATTCCCAATTAGGTCAAATAATTCCCAAATTGATTGGCCTAATTATTTGACCTAGAGTGAGATATTTTGCTTCCACAGATACCATGTACTATCACACCAATACAGAAAAAGGGGTTATACCACTCCAATTTCTACATATGCAAAAGTTATAAGAGTTGTTAATAGAAATATCCATGTAATTATTATATTTTAACATAAACCCAATCATTTTTTAACTCATATTTAAAAACGTTGTCATGTAAGATAATATTTATTCTAGTATTATACACTAAATTACAATATTCTATGCCATGTAAGATAATGTTTACTGTGCTTTTTCAATCTTTCCTCTCAATTCTTTCTTTCAAATTTCTTTATTTGATGATTTAGATCAATATGTTGGCCATTGCAGTGTAAATTAGTATGTGGGTTTTGGAGATAGTAATTTTTATCAACTATTCCAGTGACAAGTTTGTACTTATTTTCATTAATAGAAGATGAAATGTTGTTGAAATATATTCAACTAAAAAGAAAAATACTTATACCAATAAAAGCCCATTATAAAATCTTTGTTATTTTTCTGTCTAAATTAAGGCCCCGTTTGGTTCGCGGAAAGAATTTGATGGGAGTGGAAGGTTCAAGATTCATATCCCATATTTGATAATGGTGAGAAAGTAACTAGTGTTAGAAATATGTCTTTAAAGCCAACTGATTATGTGATAGTTAGAGTTAAAGATATCTTTGATAAAAGACATATTATGTTATCAACGGCCAAGAAAGGTTGTTTGATACATTAAATCATCATATATTATTTTTCAATATGTAGAACAACCATAATCCAAGGAATACACAAGTGGATATGAGAGCTATGTAATGAGATTGCATACATGGAGACTTCTAATCATCTCTAAATCCTGAATATGTTCCTGGTCATAGGAATATTGATCAATATTCTGCAAAGATCAGTACACACAGTATCGTCTCTATTTATAGGGAATGGCAAGGTCTCAAGTCTTTAAGTGTGGAGACACATCGATATGTGTGTAGGTGCTTGTAGAAGAACAAGTACACTGAACACGATCCAACACATGAGTGACAGCATGGAAGTCTTTACTCACATGTCAAGCTGGAACTCATAAATTGCAATGGTGCAAACTAATCCTTAGACCTAAGGCATCATAGATGTTTTGTGGCTATGTTGTTAATCTTTGAAGAACTATACGGTCATGCTAAATTAGGCATAGCTTAAAGGTGCTCATCAGGATTCTCAATAGAGTCATGGAAGCAAATGAATGTACAACAAGGAATCTCTACTCTCAGTAAAGGAGAGAGAATACTCCAAGATATGATTGGTCAAATCTCTGTGCAGAGTAGTGGATAAGACTTGAAAGAAGAAGTCTTCAAATTTACCAGGATAATCATAAAAAAGGAATGATTCACATTAGGATATTGACAATCGGATTCCATGATCTAATAATGTGAATAAGGAGTATTGACATAAGAGAAGGATCCAATTGCACGCTCATTCCAATTTGAATAGGTTCTTTCACAACGTCTCATTTAGCTCGGAGAACCGTGACTTGCTGCTAGGTGACAACCATGGTTTGTGGATGCCCTAAAAAATTTCAATTAACCTTTATTAATAGGAAGAATTAAATTGTGGAATTTAATTCGTATATAATCTCTGAGGAGTTGAGTCGACCCACTACCTTACTAAAGGGAACCTACGAATCTGCACACCCAAAGAATGTGATTAGAGGTACAAATGAGGAGAAATGAAATGAGGAGACACAAGTCAATGCTTGATAATCAAATGTCAAAGTCAACGGTCAAAAGTCAACATGTTGGCTGGAGCAATTGACTAAAGTCAAATAGTTCGACTGGGTCAATTAAGTGAGACTATAATTATAATTTACTAGTTAAATTATAATTAAAAGATTAATTATGGAATTAATATTGACATATAGAAATATTGGATTGAGCTTTTAAATATGATTTAAAAGGAAAGGGGCAATATAGCCCAAAAGGCTATTGGGCCCAAGGGATAAGTGGCATAAGATGACATGACCCATGGACCAAATGGAGCCCCAAATACCCACCCATTGCCTTTTTGTGTTGTCCTATATAAGCTAAGTGTTGGAGAAAACCTAGCTAGGGTTTTTGGTTTCCTACTCTGGTTGATGAGTGATCATCTTTGTATCTAATCTTCCATAAACCAAAAAAATTGGTCCAATCAAGAAGTAGACTAACATCCATACTTCTTGATTGCCTTCTCTTCATCTCTAGGAGCATTTGGTGTGGTGAGGTAGAGGACTCCAATCTTGGAGCCTTAAGGTGAAGGAGTCAAAATCAAGAGAAACAAAAGGCATTTCCAACAAAGGTGTTCATTCTTAAGAAATCAAGAAAAGGTCATCAAAGGTAAATATCTATTCCTTTTTTCCTTTTTCTATTTGTGTTCAAATAGACTAGGCTAAGATACTTGGTTTAAAATGAAAAAGGTTTAGCTCAACTAGTATAAACAAAATGAATCCGCCATTTAGAATGTTTTTGTTATATAAGTTGTGGCTAAAGTTCATTTCCTAAGCATTAGATGCATGTTTCCTTCAACCAGGAAATACCACTTTATTTGAATATTTTTCATGTTTGGTTTGTGTAGGAATGTATTTGTTTAATTTTCCAATTATACCCATGTTAGAAATATGAACCAAATTAAATAAAAAAGGATGCATTTACTACTATATATTGCAGTTCCAAATTATTAATTTGAACAAAATGGTCATGAAAATATGCATTTAATGGTGGCCTTAGTTTCCCTTAGATGCCCTAGGACACATGTGCGCTACACTGATGTATTGAACGAGTCTATAGCATTGGCCGATAGCCCTAGGTAATCTTTGAAATTTCATCGTGATTAGGATAGATCATTGCAATTGTTGGTCTTCAATGAGGAATTCCTATTAAACGCTAGTCATCAGCTATTATGAAATTATGAAGTTAATTATTTAAAAACTAGCTATTTTCAGAATAATTAAAACTACGTAGTGAAACTAAAACACTAACTAAACGAATTAAATAGGGGCTTTGCCATATAAGGATAAATAGGAGGGCACCAAGACAAAATAGTCCAACCCCTAAAAAATTAGACAAACAAGTCCAATCACTATTCGACAATGACATGAAATAACTTTTATGTCACTCATTGAGAGTAACATTGAACAACTCTCGGGTTATATTCCGAGAGTGACATAAGAGTTATTTTAGGGGATAGACCATTTTAACATTTTGTCTTGTGTGAAGTACTTTTTTTTATTTATTTATCATTTTATGTTAAATAAACAAACTAAACTAAACATTAACTAATAAATGAACTAAATAAAATTGACAAAATAAAAATAACCAAATAAATTAAATTAGATTGAGAAGAAGAGTGAGAGAAGCCGATATTGAAGGGCTGGGACAGATTGAAGGGCATGGGGGCAGTCGAGTAAAGGCCCAACCAATTAGAAAGAGTAGTACATTTCCCAAAAACAAAAATATTTATACTACTAAAATGTTTGCAAATTGGATATTAGTTGGAGCTAGAAACTCCATCTCGCAGCTGTGGCTCTGGCAGCTCTCTTCAGTAGGGGTGGGTGTGGTTCGATTTTCATTTTATACCGGAATCAAAATTGCTACTATTTAACTAGTGCGGTTTGATCTGGCTTTGGTGAAAAAAATTTATGAAACTAGTCGGTCATGTTTAAACTAGTTCCAGTGCCCTTTTTTTTTTT